CAGCAGTGGGTCCCACCATGTGTTAGATGACCTGAACACTTCTAGTGGTCAAAGGAAGCAAATAGAAAAGCAGTTCTCAACCAGGAGTAATTTTACCCCCCAGGGTAAAATGGGAAAGTTGCTTTTGGTATCTAGTGGGTCGAGACCAGGGATGCTGCTAAATATCCTGCAACACGGGACAGCTCCCAAGAATGGGCCAGCTCTAAAGGTAGATAACGCTGAGGTTGAGGAACCGTACAATAGATAAAAGAAAGCTTAGTCCTTCACTTGTATTGTGGATTGGATTAAAATGAATAATTATTTGAAGTCTATTTTTATTCTTTTTTTTTCTTGGTCACACCATACTGAAGCAAGGAACAAGTAGGAAGAAGGTGGCAAAGAGCTTCTGGTGCTTGAGAATACCTGAAAACATTTTTATTTTATCTTTTCTATATGAATACAAGTAAAATCTAAAGATCTGCTACAGGGAATTCCCTGGTGGTCCAGTGGTTAAGACTCCGTGCTTCCACTCCAGGGGGCATGCGTTCGATCCCTAGTCAGGGAACTAAGATCCTGCAAGATGCATGGCACGGCCAAAAATGTAAATCAATCAATCAATCTGCTACATATCTGTAGTAGACAATGCTAATATTTGCCCCCAATTTTTGTGGGTGGGGAGTGTGTTGAGTACATGCCTCTTGAAGTTAGGTGTGGTCATGTGACTGAAATGTGAATTATGAGTGGAAGCAAATTCATGATCTTCCATGCTCTCGTCCTAGACCACAGCAACCATGGGAGTGTATGTTGGTATGGAGAAACCATAACATCTGAGCAATGTGGAAAACTGCACCAGTGGAGAACAGCAATCCCGCCCAGTCTCCCAGATCTGCTAGACTTTGCGTGAGTAAGAACCAATCTTTTGTTGTGCTATACTACTGAGAATTTTGGAATTATTATTGTAGTACATTCTAACTTATCCTGACTAATACATCCAAGTTAATTAGCAACTACTCTGGAATTCTTGAACCCCCAAATTTCTAGAGTGTTGCTTCTGCCTTGGGAATCAGGATATATTAGTATTTCACATACATATTCATTCACACTTCTTTCTCAAATTCTGATTAGCACTGAGGTTCTAGAGAGATGTTAGTCTGTATAAAACTCCAGTGACTTGGCAGTAAGCAGCAAATGTTCTCTCATATAGTTTCTGGGCTGCATGTGAAGGAACTTTTTTTTTAGGCTTTGGAAATACATTTTATGTCTGAAATGATTTTTCTGTTGACATTAAAATATGTGCTGAATTGTGACATCTCAAGTTTGATGACTTTTACCTGCTCATTGTATAAATTCTGTTATGTAAGCTATAATGTAGACTTTATTTAGCTTCCTGAATTCTAGATTAGAGAGTGAAAATTTCTAGAACAGTGGTAAACAACCTCTCTCTCTTCTCATCCACACACTTCACTCTCTCTTTCTCCATAATTTGAATCAAAACTATGTCATCATTTCTCTGACCTGTTGGAAACAATTTACTTTTTTTGGTAGGTTAAGGCTTCAGAGACTGAAGACCAATCTTTTCTTTTTAAGTTATCATCAGTACTCTTGTAACGTTACTTTATATCTACCATCCCATGTGCTTTTTACCAACCCCTTCTAAACATAAGCTCATCCTTTATAACTTATATCTAACATATTTATTATTGCATTTATTTACTTACTCAAAAGTGTTTATTTACTTCGTAGCAATCCTATATCTCTATTGCATGAGCTGTAACTGTAACACAAGGGTCAGCTGCCTGGAAATCCTCAGTTCTTTTTGCCTTTGGGAGTTTTGTCTCCTTTTTCTCTCATGTCAAGTAAACTGCCCTGAGGTGCAGTCTCTCAGGTGGTAGAAAATCTAACTTGCTGACGAAGATATCCGGGCTGTTCCATGCGTCTGACTTTCTTGTGGTCTGTCCACACTGTGTCCAGGGTGTGTCACCTCTGGACCCCGGTGGCTGCTATCTTCTCTCCACACCAGCAGCACTCTCACCAAGCGTACATCCCCTCTGTTAGAGCACCGCTCTGCGCTAGCACACAGGGCTATTGTAGCAGACTTTGATGGAAGGGTTAGGGGTACTAGAGGGGGACCGCAACTCAGAATAGTCAAGATAGGCCATATGACGTTGAATCACAGGCACGCCAGTTCTCTAGCATCCCGTGGCCATCCTCTTTACTGGGAATTGCTTGGTGGGTGTCTTTCTTTTCAGGCATAGCCTGTCACCATGATACTGGGCTCTCTTTCATTTTCACACTCTCTAACATGTTCCCTGCCCTCCTTTCTCAGGGCTCTCCCTCCATCTCTCTCAAACTCTCCTCACCCCATTCCTTTGAAGCCCATAATCGCCCTTACTCAAGTATGTGCTACACTTTGACTTTCCTGATCTTTAACTCAACCCTCGTCCTGCTTCTTTTATTTTATTTTATTCTATTTTTAATTTTTAAAAAATTTTTGGCCGCGCCACGGGGTTTGCGGGATCTTAGTTCCCCGACCAGGGATTCAACCCACGCCCTTGGCAGTGAAAGTACTAACCACGGGACCGCCGGGGAATTCCCCTGCTTCTTTATTTTATAAACTTCAGCCAGACATTCTGCCAAACAAAGGCCGCCTACTCTGGGTAGACACCCTTTGGGAACACATGCTTTCAGTTCAGCGTTTTCTTTAATCTAGCACATTGTTTGAAATGGGAGTTCCTAATTTCTAGAAAAAGGAGGAAGCAGTATGAGGCATCGAGTCATTTGAGGAGCGTGAGAAGGAGTAGAGAACTTTGTGCGGAGGAAGAGTAGCATGTGAGAGCACAGGAGACTTGCTGAGCTGTAGCCGATGACACTGGAGTGGTCAGAATGGCCTGTGTAATGGAGGCTCTTGGGAAGTATCATGTGGGCAGAAGGAAGCTTTTTTTTTTTTTTAATTTAATTTTATTTATTTTTTTATACAGCAGGTTCTTATTAGTCATCAATTTTATACACATCAGTGTATACATTGTCAATCCCAATCACCCAATTCAGCACACCACCATCCCCACCCCCCAGCAGTTTTCCCTCCTTGGTGTCCATACGTTTGTTCTCTACATCTGTGTCTCAACTTCTGCCCTGCAAACCGGTTCATCTGTACCATTTTTCTAGATTCCACATACATGCGTTAATATACGATATTTGTTTTTCTCTTTCTGACTTACTTCACTCTGTATGACAGTCTCTAGGTCCATCCACGTCTCAGCAAATGACTCAGTTTCTTTCGTGGCTGAGTAATATTCCATTGTATATATGTACCACAACTTCTTTATCCATTCTTCTGTTGATGGGCATTTAGGTTGCTTCCATGACCTGGCTATTGTAAATAGTGCTGCAATGAACATTGGGGTGCATGTGCCTTTTTGAATTATGGTTTTCTCTGGGTATATGCCCATAGTGGGATTGCTGGGTCATATGGTAACTCTATTTCTAGTTTTTTAAGGAACCTCCATACTGTTCTCCATAGTGGCTGTATTAATTTACATTCCCAGAAAGCATGATGCTTGATTCAGTGACTGAAGTTTCTAGAAGGGAAGGGAAGATTTACACGTAAGAAGTCAGAACAATGAAAAGGGGTACAGAGTGTGGCAACGAATCTGCGCATGTAGAAACTAACTCTGTGTGCTCTGGGAATTAAGAAATGGGAGACATCAACCCATGGCATGTGGTCAAGGATGGCACAGGGGTGGGATGAGACAGGTCATCTGAGTTGGACCCAGAGGCAATGTAGACTTTGGAAAAGAAAACAAGGATGTTCCAGATGCAAAGAACAATGACAGAAAACACTAGAAGGGGGTGGAAGCCTGGATCACATTTTCTAAACCATTCATTCGAACAGGTTATCTAACAATTATGAATTATTTATGAAGATGGAGGGGGTGGTTATAGGAAATATTAAAAATTTAGCCTGCCCTGGAAAATCTAAGTTGAAGGGAGGAGAGAATAAGGAAAATGGCCCAATTGTTCTAGAATAGCACTGCCTGATAGAAATGTAATACATGCTACACATATAACTTAAAATATTCTAGTAGCCCTATTTAAAAAAGCAAAAATCAACAGATTAAATTCACTTTTAAAATATATTTTATCTAATTCAATATATCTAAAATGTTATTTCAATATGTTCTCTATATATAAAAATTATTAATGTGATATTTTAAATTCTTTTACTCATACTAAGTCTCAGAAATTTAATGTGCATTTCACACTTACAGCATATCTCCATTTGGATGTTAAATTCATCTGAAATAATTAACCTGCATTTAGATACTGTAAAATTTACAACTGAAAAGATGAACTCGTTTACCCAAGTTGTTCCAAATACTTATACATAAAAGTTTCCCTGGGGCTTCCCTGGTGGTGCAGTGGTTAAGAATCCACCTGCCAATGCAGGGGACATGGGTTCGAGCCCCGGTCCGGGAATATCCCACATGCTGCAGAGCAACTAAGCCCATGTGCCACAACTACTGAGCTCGCGTGCCACAACTACTGAAGCCTGCGTGCCTAGAGCCCATGCTCTGCAACAAGAGAAGCCACCGCAATGAGAAGCCCATGCACCGCAACGAAGAGTAGCCCCCGCTTGCTGCAACTAGAGAAACCCCACGCGCAGTAACAAAGACCTGACACAGCCAAAAATAAATAAATAAATAAATAAGATTTTTTTAGAAAAGCAAGTTTCCCTGTAACTGAATCAAATACTAAAAATCATTTTCTGTTAACATTTGCATCCACATTGACAAAGGTGCTTCAGTTCCTAAATTTAAAAGCCAGTCAATTAAAATTAAATAAAAAGTGGCTACGCATTAGGCTGCACAGGTCTAGAAGTGGGTGTCAGGGGTGGGAAGCAGGATGGCCAGGTGACATGCAGACCTTGGATGGCTGACTCCGAGTGCCTGGAGGGAGACTGCATAGGAGCTAGTACACAAAACGGTGCCACCCTGTCCTACCTGCCAAGAAGAAAGGAGATATCAAGACAAAAACAGATTTCTAGGGAGACTAATCAGCAACAGGACAGAGAAAACAAAACAGAAGAAAAGCAAAGTCAGGAAGCCCAATGGACAGTTAACTGTAATAAGTAAAATGTGAAATAACAAGGACTGGAACCGGAGATGGGAAGGAGGAATGAGGGGGAGTTGATGATCCGAGAGGCTGTTTGTTGGATAGAAGAACAGACAAGACTGAAGAATGGGTGGGACACGTAAGTAGAGCCACTGGCTGAAGAAGTCAGAGGGACCTGGTTTATGTTGGCTTGTTTTGTGTTTTGTTTGGGGTTTTGTTTTGTGTTTGTTTTTTCTCTCTTCTCTCTTCTATGCGCATAGCGGTTTCCAGGAGTTCATGGATTCTTCAGGTGTGACACCTGGGAATGCAAAGGGTCTATTATTATGGACAAGAGCTGAAGAGAGGAGAGGAAGGAACAGAGGAGAGGGGAGAAGGAGACAGGGAGAGGCTATAAATTCTAAATTTAGGGTTTACCAATAAATAGAAGATAGATCAAACCATTTGAGCGAGTGAGACCGCCCAGGGAGGTATGGAGAGTGAGAAAACACGGGCCACCTCAGGGATGATACATTTCCAGGGACAGAGAAGCCTTCTGGGGAATGTTTCCAATGTGCAAAGTGACTGAACCAGACAGGTTAGGGGTCTGCTCCAGGGCCTCATTCACTTGACCAACATTTACTGAGACGAAGGTCTAGGCGTTCTCATTCTACATACAAGTGAAGTGGGCCACACTGGAAGACTGCCCTGTTAGGGTCGCAGCCAGGACTGAATCCCCGATGGCCTCTGCCCACAGCAGGGTCTCTGTCCTACACCACAACAGAGCAGGAGTCATGCACAGTGTCACTGGCGAGGTTCTGGCCTTGGAGATGGGTCAGTCTAAATCGTGTTCTTTTCCCTTGACGTTTCATTTGCCATTTCTAAGAATGCTCTTCAAGGAAGATCTTACTTTTACCACCAAGAGCAAAGTAGTTAGATTCACATTTTAAAGGGAAAAGAAAAGATGGGGCTGTGTAGAGTTGGGATGAGGGAGAAGTCTTGTCCTTTACAGTAGTGATGGTGTGGAGGCAGCACAGGGCTTTGGAGAGGGAAGTAGGTGTTGGTCTCCCATCCATTAGCTGATACAAAAAGATGGGTGTGAAGGTATAGAAAAGACAAATTATGATGCAAGAAAATTCAGAAGACGTTCCGTTCAATATGAACTGATGACACATTATACCATTTAACTTCGGAAAGGGGTAGTGCTCAAATTGACTTGGGATGGAAAGGTCTAACTTTGTAACTTCTCTTTCCATAGAAATGTCATAACATTTTCCCTTAAGGCTCAAAGGGGCCACCATAGTTTCACTTGCTGGAACACAGATTTCTATCCCACCCTGGTGAACAATTATGATTTTACATTGGTTAGTTATGAAAATTCTATTTTGCCTGCTTTGTAATTTGGAGGAATGTTTAGTATTCTCGGTTCAAGCTGTGAAATACAATAGAGAAAATTACCCATCTTGGAAACATAATTGCTTTTATTGCATAGTTGACTTAACAAAAAAAAAGACCTTTAAAGGAACAATTTATTCATTAAATCCAACAGTGTGCATAAAACAATGCCGTACCTCAATTCAGTCCTTACTTCTTTCCAAATTTTTCATAAAAGGTAGAATTCAGTCTCATTAACTTCACACTTCTCTCAGTGACATTCAAGATTCTGAAATCAGAGAACCATGGAACGTGCAGTAAGAAAAAGCAGTTGCCTGGGGTGTCTTTCTTCCCCCTCCATCTGACATCTCCTACACATCATTAATGTGGACTCCTCTGTGCCCTTCCAAAATCTCTACTCTTTTGGAGAAATCTACTTGTGTTTTTCTTATGTGCGAATGCATCTGACTGCGCCAGACCTTCAGGGAAGGACTCTCATGCACATCTTTGTATCTCCAGAGGTTACCCCAGTAACTGGTCTAGGAAGCACGCAGTAAATATTTGTGTAAGAAATAAAGCATGGATATATAAATGAACAAGCGAATGAATTAGAAGAACTGGACTGAGGACTTCCCTGGTGGTACAGTGGTTAAGAATCCGTCTGCCAATGCAAGGGACATGGGTTCGAGCCCTGGTCCAGGAAGATCTCACATGTCGCACAGCAACTAGGCCTGTGCACCACAATTACTGAGCCTGCGCTCTAGAGCCCACGAGTCACAACTACCGAAGCCCGCGTGCTTAGAGCCCGTGCTCCGTAACGAGAAGCCACCGCAATGAGAAGCCTGCCCAACTGCAACAAAGAGTAGCCCCCGCTCGCCGCAACTAGAGAAAGCCTGCGCGCAGCAACCAAGACCCAACGCAGACAAATTAATTAATTAATTAATTATTTTAAAAAAGAAGAACTGGATTCAGAGCCAGAATTCTTACTACCTAGAGCAATTCACTCCACTTCTCTGAGCTTCAATTTCCTTATCATAATAAAGAGAAATAGTAGACTGCCTAGTGAACTTCTCAGGGCATTGGAAAGCATAACATATGATAATATATGTGAAAGCCCCTGACAAATGGTAAAGCACTATGCAAATATTAGTTGCTGTCTGGTGTCTGGATAGAGACATAAAAACCTAGCCAAGTATAAGACACGGATAGGAAGCAAATTCCACATGTCTGGGAATGGTGCCATTGTTGATCCAGATCCCAAAACAAAATCCTGAGAAACATCCTTGATTCCTCCTTCTCTTTCACTCCTAACACCCAATTAGAACCAGTGTCACCTGTTTCACCATCACTAAGGACAATACAGGCATGAACAATGATACATTCAAGGCTCCACCCCTGCTGGTAGCAGCAAGTCCATTTCCTCCCTGTATATCACATCTCCCCATAATTGACCACGGCCTCCAAGGCCTTACCCAATCCCAGGGGTGGGATCAGGACACAAAGGATGGTATTGGTTCTTCATACAGACACCCACTGGAGAACCAACTAGAGGACTGCTACCTGACAGAGTTCTCCCACAATTTTGTGTTTTAAACAAGTTCTGTACAGTGATTGCTGCTGGAAAGTCTATTCCAGAGCCCATCTCAGGCTGTGAGGCATGTCACATCATGTACCATGATAGCTCGGGAGGTTAGGTCTGGAGGAGCCTCCAGCACCAGTCACAGACTATGCTTAAACCAGCCCTTCTCCATAAACTCCAAAACCCGGGTCTTGGTCCCTGTTCACAAGCCCCCTTTACTCAGTCATTGCATTTACAGGATTTCATTGTCTGTCTCTGCCACTGGTTCTCAGAAGAGGTCCTTCTGACCTAAGTTTACAGGTCTTCCTAACTTTGAATCTTGGGAAGCAGGTACGGAGTTCTCACATATTTTCCCACACTGAATAATGGGTGCCTTCCCCTCTTATATTTACATCACCAAAGGAGTTCTGTAGCTTTTAGAGAACAATGAAGATCATTTCAGGGATACCACCCACCATGGGCACTCC